TTTCAAACCACTGGGGCTGAGATTCAAACCTACAGTTTTAGGATCTGGCTCCCTTAACCAGTAGCAATACATGGCTGGCCCTATGTTCTTTCTTTTTAAAAGCTTATTTATTTTTCAGAGAAAGAGAGAGTGAGAGAGAATGAGGGAGGAGAGGCAGGGGGTGCTCTCAATAGGGACCTGATGGTGTGATTCACTCCCAGCCGCAGCTGATCCCCATCATGAGCCCAGCTCACTTAGGGAAGGCTCAGGACGCTAACCAGAAACTCTCCCAGGTGGGTTGACCTTGGAGAGTGTCCCATTTTACTGCGGCACCACCTTGTGGTCTCCCGATGTTCTTTAATGTTATAATAGTTAAAACAAAACAAAGCAAAACAAAACCATTTCATTGAGCTTGGTTAGCTGCCTTTCAGGGGCACGCCTGTTTTGCACTACCCGGTGCCCCATATGGGCAGCCTTGACTGCCCTGGGTGTTGATGAAAAGATCTGCTCTGTGGCTTCTGTGGCCCGGTTTGTACCTGAGAACAGGTAGATAGCATTTCTAGCATCTCCTCTCACTTCTCCCATTGCTGGGAGATCTCCCTTGCCTATAGGCCACTATTATTCTGGCTTGTAGACCACTGTTATTCTGCCCTACTCAGGTTAATACAGCTTTGGCAGACTAGAACATGGAAAGCTAGCCTTACCAGTGGCAGTGAGAAAAGTGTTCCTTCCGGTCCCTCTCCCTCCGTGGAGAAGAGGGGTCAAGCAAATGAATGGAGGGGACTGACTGGGGATGGAACTGGAGGAAACGGTTGAGTATTTGGTGGACGTTTATTTACATCCCATGAACACACCTTGTGAATACTAGGCGCTAGAAGGAAATCCCAAAGAGTCATGCATCACCCTGGCTCCAATGAGAAGAGAAAAGCACAGTATTCTGAACAGGAGAAGTTTAATACAAAGGAGTCTGAAGTATAACAGGATTGGGACCAGCAGTTGGTGATATAGCTATGTCACTGGACTCCCATGTAGTTGATCATGGTTCGAATCCCGGACCTGGTGGCTTAAAACTCACACCGTGTGTGTGTGTGTGTGTGTGTGTGTGTGTGTGTGTGCCCAAGATTCCCAGAGGAGAATGGAGGAGAAGCGATTGCAGTGTGGCCATCCACCCTGAGGGGTGATTTCTCGCTTTCTGTATCTCTCTCTCTTTCTGGTGAGCACATGCGCCCTATAGGAAAA